TTTTCAAAGCTTTGTTTATTAAATTCAGGTAAAATAAATATGCTAAATAAAATTTCCTCCGGGCATCAGAAATTTTCCTGATGCAAACTGGAAACTTTCCTATGCAAATGACCCAATGCAAATGAATGCGGCTTGCATAGGAAAAAAATCCCAAAATGTTTCCGGAAAGCTGCAATTCAAAATTTTCTGGAAAAACCATATTATTTATGCCTAGGACTAAAATAATCCCTACCCACAGCAAGAAAAAGTAGAAAGATGGAAATGCCTAGGAAGATTGATACCAGGATACCTGAAAGAGTTATTCTCGTTGAGGAACCTGCCGTGTCACTTTCTGTGGTTTGCCACTCCAGAATCTGTGTAGATATGACATTGTAAATAAATAAAACAAGACTTTCCTGGCATTCAAATGAACATGAAGGAAACAGGTAATGGTTGTTTCCTGAATAAATTTAACACAACATAGGAGACCCTGGCAGATAAAACATTTGCTGAAATGCAATGAGCAGCAAGAAGAGGTTTTCTCAAGTGCATGGGATTCCGTTTCACTCTCCCTTACTGACATAGATGCTGGGCATCCCTTCCACAGAAACATGTTCAGAGGCAGTAGGGCTACCAGTGAGGAGTCTCTGTCTCTGGTTGTCACTAAGATAAGCACAGGGTGCCCAGAAAAAGGCTTCAAGTGGTAACTCCTGTAAAAAGGCAAGCTGGTACAAGAGCTGATGGTCTGGCAAATTATTTGGTCCCAGATCATGTGGAAATTATTGGTAGATTTCCCATCTTTCTGCCCATGTGCTGTCATGTTGTTTATTGCCATACTTTTACCAGCATTCTAGGACTGCAAGAAATTGCCTTTATACCATGTGTCCATCTAAGCCGGAACTATTTACTCCAAAGAGCAGTAGCTCTCCAGACAGAGAATGGTTTTTCTTGTTACCTAGGATTCTTTTAACTGGAGATGCTTGACACCTCCCCCCTCCACCCAGCCTGGGAACTTTTGCGTGCAAAATATGTTCCCCTACAGCTGAATTGAGACTTTCTCCATTGAGACACAGCACTGTATCGTAGTAAACAGGTGCTTTTCCCTACATCCAAAGGTTGATTCCCACCCCTTTAGGAATCAGAGTAGAGTTAATTCTTTTGTACTTCTGAATCCGTCTCCCCCTCCCCCCCCACGCGTGTGTGTGCGTGCGTGCATGCGCGCACGGGCGCTAGAGAGAGAGAGGGAGGGAGGGAGGGGGGGGACTGGTTGAAAAAATAAGAGATTGTACAGCCTTGATATCGATCCCAGGTGTTCCTTGTTTGGGTTAGTTCAGTTTCTTTAATGTGTGATAAGAAATGGTGGTAGTTGCCCTGAGTTGGGCACCAATCTTGCTTCCGGTGTCACCCTGCCTTGTAAGGCAACCAGGGCAGTTCACACATCAACATATAAATAGAAGTGACAATTCAAAAGCTATTTTTACAACCGGAACAGCCAAAAGAAAAAAAGAAACGGAGAGTAGCTTTACTTTTTGTGCTTGTTACCTGACCTGAAGGCATCAGCTGCTGTGGATTTTGGCAAGCTTGCAACACAGGCAGTGCCAGTGCAAACATCCTACACAGTGATCCAGTCCTGTTCCTAGGAGGACCATTTTTGGCAGTGAGCAAACTTTAGTGGGTAGCTGTACATAGTCTTTGAATATAGCTAGCAGTGGCAGTAGTTTCTGTAACAGTAGACGTAAAATAGGTGCACATTATTGCCACCTGTATAATAACTGGTTTAACCCAAATAACGGTCTGATTGGAATGCCTCTGGACAGATTCAGACTTCCAAACTGAGATGATGATCAAGGAGATTGCCATAAATCCAAGAGACCATTTACATCTGCAGGCCTTTGCTTTGAATCATAGGTGCCCTTGTAGCAGTGTTAATTAACAGCCAAGTGGGGATTTTGATTTGAATTATTCCCGTTTCTTTCGGTTTCTCTTTTTTGCTTCTGAGGATTTTGGATCATGAATGCCTAGAGCAGCGTGTGTGTGCCGGCATCCCCCTCCCCTTTGATATTCTGGCTGTAGAACCATGGGACACTTTCCTGTTTTTCCTTAGCATGCTGGCTTATACAATCTTTGATCTTGCAGTGATAAAGCCATCTATCATGTTGGGTTGTGCAGTCGCAATTATTTGCTTATTTAAGTGGCAACTGTCTCTCCCCCTGCCCCTGCTGTCCTGCTGTACACCTTTAAGGATGTGTCATCTCTGGTTCCTTATTTTGCAGATTAAATGTGCTTGGATGGCTCATATAAGTGGTAGATTCCCGCCTAAGTGTTGCCCACCTAAGTGGTAGATTCCCGCCTAAGTGTTGCCTAAGTGTTAGCTGGTTTGATGGCTGGACAGTGCAGGTAGTGTGCTCATCACCCCAAGGAAATGCGGATGCAGTAGGCTCCCAGGCGTTCCTCTGTGGCATCTTGTCCCACTCTCCCTCCAAGGGGCTCAGGGTGGTGTACTTGGATTGCCCCATTCCTGTCTGATCTGCATGACAGAAATAGAGGTAGTAAAGTTCTTGATGGTCGCCCATTGAGCTTCATATTCCTAATCTCGCACTTTAGCCACCCGGTTATTCAGTCAGAAACCAGATGTGGGTTCTTTGGACACCTTCATTTCATAGAGTGAACTCCTACCTTTTTTCATATGGATAAGGGAAAGGACCCTTACTGAGGCTGAAAGGGTATGTTCGAGCCACTATGGATGTCCTTTCTCTCTCCCACAAAGAGTGATTTTCCAGTGCTGCTTTATGAGCATTTTGTTTGTATTTAGAAATAAAAATGATGGGTGTTAAATTTCAAATAACTTTTATAGTGTGGCTCTTGTGAATGCATTCCCCAAAACAGGGACTATTTATTGGACAGGTTAGTTATATAGTCCGGGTTGTTCAGAGCAACCTGGCAGTGCACCAGAGGCCAGCTGAAGACTACTCAGATTGTTGCCCCTTCTTTCTTCTTAGGCACCCAGTGTCTTTCTCTCTGCAGAATCTGTCTTGTCTCCCTGCCTGAACTCCAGTCCCTAACCCTGCTTTTTAAAAAATGTAGCCTCAGAAATGGAACGAATTCGAGCCGTTAAAAAATTCAGCCCAAGTAACTTGCACAAATGCATGTAGAACTTTAAAAACTTATTATTTCTGTCAGTCCTTTGCAAGTGCACTCTTACAATGGTCCTATCTGTATAGTCTTGCTTGGTCAATTTTCTTCCATGTTTCAGCTGCCAAAAGGATTAGCAGAGTAGAGTTGGGATTCGGTTGAAAAGCAAGGAAGATGAAAAAGGATTGGTGGAAGGAGGCACAGCAAAAGAGGGGGAGGGGGAGTGTGTGTGTGTATACAATATTTCCTCCTTGGCAGCATGATCTTCTCACTTTTAAGTTTCAACTGGCTCTTCTCAGTGTCCTCCGCCTTTTCATCACTTCCTTGAATCTCTAGCTATTCTAGAAAGTGGTGATAGTAACTCCATCCACTTTTTGTGGCTCTCTTTTGGATTGTTTACTGCTGTAATTACTGAAGAGCTGTGACAGAAATAAATGCAGAAAAATACCCAAATTGAATGAGAAGTAGTTGGAGGGGAATCCTGTCTAAATTTAAGGAATGGGAAACAAAAGGATGGAAATTTTGTATATTTGTATTAACTGCTTCATTAGTACAAGCATGCAGCATTTCCTCCATTTACTTACCAGCCCTTAAATTTACGCAGAATTCCCTTCCATATATATTTTTTCTTTATATAAAGATTCCATTCATATTCCTGACCATTATATTTGAGTGTATTTCTCAGTCCAAAAAATTGCTCAATTACTCCCAACAGTTTTAAGAAAGGAAAAAGAAACAAAAACCAGATTCCCTTATACAGGTAGCAGACCAAGATGGAACAAATGGTCTTAAGCACTGGTTATACTTTTACTGGCTTCCATGAGGCTCTTTTCTCTCTGACCCTTTTAGCCACAGCCTCCGGGGATTTTTGTTCACTGTTGCAACTACAGTAACCACAGCAGAAATGAGCTGTGAAAAGGTGGGAGAGCTGATATGTCCTCTTTCTTGGAATACTGGAGAGTCAGGGAAGTTTTGAAAACAGGGGCGGCATGTTAATTCAACACTTAAGTGACAAAATCACATTTGCCAAGAGGGAGATACTGAATCATGCTTCCAGCACAACTTCTTTTATCATTGTTTTCCTGTGTATTCATGCTCTCTAATTAATAACTTGGCAATCAGTTTCTGGCAACTATGTGCAAATTAACATGTATGCATTTTAGCTGTGTCAGTTCCCATGGTTGTTAACCACTATTTGCCCACTCCCTTTGACAACTGAAATATACATAGAGATCGTTATAGGCAAAACTGCACTTTTTGGATGGCCATAAGAGTGCACTTACTTGCAAACAACCTCTAGCAGTGGTGAGAGTGAGATTGCAAAAACCAGTGCGGGGTTTTGTGCTCTTACAGAGGAGCTCCATAGCCCATACCTACAACCAATGAGGCTGCTTTCCCAGTTTTGGATGGCATAGCAACTCATCAGGGATCAAGCCATGCCTAGAAGAAACCATGGGTTGTTGGGCTGAGTTGTTGCTGGAAAACAACCCACTGTATGGGAAATGATTCTGGGTTTGGATAGTAGCTGAACTGCTCTGTGCATCATTCGGTCCTGAGCTTCACTTCATACAGTTGCTGAGAATCTGAAAATAAATTCAGTGTTGCAGGGTACTAGATCTTTATTTTCAATTTTAGCCTTAGTAAGGTGGACACTGAACCCTTTCCATGCCAGCGGTGGCTGATGTGTTTTCTAAACATCGTGGGGTCCTTAATAAGTAAGATTTGTGAGTGAGATTTCATGTTTTATCTGCTGCTATTTATAAACTCATCTGTTCTTTGGCCATGCGCTTGGAAAGATGAGTGCTGGAGGCATCAAGAGGGATGTAGGACTTTTTAAAAATTATACTCCCAAGGTTTTTAGCTAATTTACCTTTTCTTCCTTTTCGCAGGTTGAGAGAGATTTTGAACGAGAGTATGGAAAGCTTCAGCAGTAAGTGTTCTGAACCAGCTTGTTGTTCCGGAGTTTCCTTCCTGCGCTCTGTTCATCATTGTACTTGCCTGTGTGTGTGTTTCATTCTTTTGCTTCCTGCTCCACCCTAGACTCCCTTTGGCTCCTTGGCCCATCTTGTTCTTTTGCCTGTTCTACCATTACCTGTTAGGATTAAGGGTCATTTCACCAATCACAAGATGCTTCCACAGAAGACATGAGAAGGATTCCCATATGGATTGTGACTTGTGCATTAGGAGGTGCATATCCCTACAAGTGGGGAATGCATAGAGCTTTCACTTGTGTGAAAATGGGCTGTGTCATCCCACCACCTCCATGCTCTGTGTCCACATGGTGCACACAGTGATCTACCTGTTAGTATCTACACAAAGCGGACGTCTTCTCTGTAGGAGTTTCATAATGGGAAGCAGCTTGTACTGTATTCTGATTGAACCTCTGCCTAACCTTTGGACTGGAAATTGGCTTGCCTTTTTTGGTGAGTCACCTTCGCCTGGCTGGCTTTTTAAAATTGCCTTGCTGTGGACTGAAATCACAGCCTGTCCCCCTGGGGTTGCTGCAGCTTCTGCAAAGACACTAACCCCCATCTCCATTGTGCAAAGAAGCACTGTTCTTTCTTCTCTCCTAGCCCACTGGTCTAGGTCGAACATCCATTCATTTGGCAGGTAGTTGACTGCCAATTTGTTCAGTACTTCTTTTGGAGTATCAAGAAGGGGAAGCACCTGATGGCGTAGGCAAGGGTCAAACTAGTGTCATCCACACCTGCATGCTCCAAATCCTGATGTTTCTGTGAGCTGTTTGTCATTGTCTGGGAAAAGAGCACAACTGCGTGCTTGGGAAAGACAGAGGCTACGCACGTTCGTTTAGCTCAGGCACATTCCCCTCGTTAAACAAAGGTGCAAACTAATTGCTGTTAGGATTGTTGCTGATGCATAGAGGATCCATACTGTTCCTAGTGTACAGAAGTCTACTTATTTACAATCACCACCAAAGCTGGCCAACTTGCCCCGTCTCAAAAGATAACAGCTAAATGCAACTAAACTACAAGGTGCTCTCTTGCTTCTCAAACACTACAGACAGGCTTTCTTTGTCTATTCCCACGTGGGTGTCTCTCTTGAGGGGTTAGAGTTCCCCGCTTTGTTACGTTATGCTTCCTTCAAGTCTGTAACTCCGCATCAAGGGAGCACCTATTTATATTTCCAAGGATGCCTCCATGCCTATTTAGCTTGCATCAGTGGGTGGAAAAGTGAAAAACAAGTCTTTTATGAAATGTTTCAGGCATAGGCTTCAGAGTGAAATGGGTGCTGCATTTGTTTACTTACTTTAATTATTTCATTTATCCTCAATCTTATCCTCACAACAACCCTGTGAGTTGTGCTAGGCTGAGAGTCAGTGACTGGTCCACAGTTACCCGGTGAGCTTTGTGGCTGAGTGGGGGCTAGATCTCCTGTATCCCAGTCGCAACATGCCGTCCATTATCCTGCTCTGGTGCTCACTGCTGCAGTTCTGCAGAAACTTTTTTCATAATCATAAGCAAAGAAATCCTGGTGGAAATACAGACTGTCAATCTGGTATTCATGTTAATATGTTTCAAGTACTTCAGGGGAGTAAAGGAAGGGGAGACAAAGAGGCCTCAGCTAGACTTTCTGGATCTGTAGCACCCTGCTATCATGTGGACATCCCCATTTCCATGGTATCCCAGAACTGCAATCAATTAAGCATCCGTCTTTAATCTTGACTGCTACTTTCTGGTTTATATACTTATTCCTTCCTACTAACAAAAGTTACTAGCCTCATACAAATTGTTTTAGCTCATGTGCCCCATAACTTCATTAATCCTTCATAGCGCATTATCGGAAACATTAAAAAATAGGCTTCCATTCTACACAAGCTCACACAGCTAGTTTCCCGGAGCTGACTTGCCACAGGGGAGTGCTATTAGCAAGGAAGAGGTTCCCTATGTGTGTGTCCCCCAGCCTTCTCCATTGGTTCCTGTTAGCTCTCCTATACTGAAGGCTAGAACTCAGCCTGCCCACTGTGCCTTCTCCTGCATGCATTTTTAAAAATCAAAATAAAGCTCAATTTGCTGTTCTTAGGTTGGAAGATCAGACTAAGAAACTCCAGAAGGACATGAAGAAAAGCACAGATGCGGACTTAGGTAGGTAACATGGATGCAGTGAAGTGAAAGCTAAAGCGTCAGGCATCATTCTTCAAAGATTTACGTTGGACACATTTTGTGCAGAGCTGTGCATTTACCCACAGTCCCTTGAGTCCTTTGTTGAGAGTTCCCGGTGGTCGGAATGCCTCTTTTTACATAAAGACTTGTAAGCTGTAGCTTGCTAATGAAGTGGTGTGAATGGAATAACAAACCCTTTTCTTTCGTTTGTGAGGAAAAATTGTCCAGGGAATTCCTGGATATTGCTTGACTTAGCTTGGTTTGGCTGGGACACAGTGATAAGCGTAGGAAGCTATGAGCAAGCTGGCTCTCGCTCTCTCTCTTTTTTACTTCTGCAGCTGTTTGCTTGTGAGATTTCAAACAGAAACATCTGGCTTCCAGGTGTTCATTTACTTTTGCAAATTGGCCTCATCCTGCTGCATTACTATTGCTGCTTCAGTAGGAAGCCCATTTAACCACATCACAAAATATGGGGGTCTAAATATGAGTAATACGAATAAGATAAGGAGACTAAACTATCTGAAGGTAGAAGCATGTGAAAAGGAAATTACCATGAGTTGCACAGTATGGCTTTTCAAAATCATTAAGATGGTTGTAGATTTTGCTACTAATCAGATGTGCAAATTCGTGCAGTTGAGCTTATCCCACTTCCCTAGACCCCTCAAAACTTTTTCAGCTCCTGGCCCTATCATATTGCAAGACTTTCTCCCCTTTCTTTATGAAAATCTGTTTGCATTTTTGAACACATTTCCCACATATGTGCATCAATTGGGCACATTTTCTCCAATCAGTAGAAACATGCTTGTCTGTATTTTTTAAATCTACCCAGTTTTTTGTGCTACAGATCATATTCCAAACTTGGAAAGTAAGACATTTGACCGTGCATTGCATTTAGATTTGTGTGTGAGGGTTTTGGGGTTTTTTTGGTGGGGCGGGGGATGTGAAATGGGGAAATTCTTACAAAATCAAACGAATTTCTCATATATCCCTGCCTACAGTTGATGGGTCTAGGAACCAAAATTTTATTCCTCATTCCTCTGAACCCCGAAATCTTCAGTTTTCTACCTTGTCTTTTGGAAAAAGATGGGTCTTGGGCAGAAAAGCTTTTCTGAAATGGTGGCCTGTGTGCATGCAGCTTAAATTATTAAGGGTCAATCAGGATGATCATGCCCTCAGCACCACTGTGAGCTTTCTGAGTGCTGTGTACGTAAGCCCTTACTTAAAGCAGGGTGGGGTAGGCGCATAGACCTGACAGTCCTTGAGTTGCATCTCTGTGGGGCTCTTAATTTTGGAATAATTGAAAATTTAGTGCCTCTGCACGTTCAGTGCATATTCAGACGCGTGCCTGTGTACCCATGCTCAAATGTTCCGGGTTGGAAAGAAACCATTTGAAGGACTTGTTAAGATAAGTCCCCTTTCTCAAGTGTTCTTTAGATTCCCCTAGTAACATTTTCCTTGCAGAGAATTCCTTTCTCCTCCCTTTCAGTGGGCGTTTTTATATGGATCACTTCAGGCCCCAAAGGATCTGTAGGAGGAATCTTTTTTTTTTTCTTCTTCTTCTTCTCCCCACCCCACTTTCATCTTCTTGGCATCATCACAAATTAGCTCAAACTCTGTCCATATAACAGGAGACATTTTTTGCATGTCACCTGGAATTATGGAGTAATAGTGACTATTTCTTTGTTTTGCTTGTCCCTTCCAATGGCGAGTGGAAACTGGTACCAGCCCAAATCCCGTTGAATGTCCTAGGAAAATTTAATTACATAGTCAAGTCTCCTAGAAGCTTCACCCTCAGCCCTTTCTAGTAACTCTGAAGGTTGAAGATCGTATGAGCTGCTAATTTGCTTTCCATGATCCAACAGAAGCTTGGCAGAGTGTCAGCTGTGTTCTGTTTTTTTGCTCTTTCGTCACACCCTTCTTCCTAATGTCATTGTTCCTTTTTCACTTCCCAGTGATGGAAGATTGACCATTTCCTCCATCTGTACCAGTGTTCTTCTCTGCAAGACAGCTGTGGTTTCAGGTCAATGCAAGTGCCGCCCTCCGGCTGTCTCATTCATTTATTCTCTCTGTCTTCAAAGGGAGCTTTTTTGCTTCAGTGCTGAGCTGTCTGCTGTGATCTGGGTGGCTAGAGGAGTCGTTGGTGTGCAGGGGTAGGAGACCGGTTTGCCTCCTAACTCCTTTCCCCAAGGATTTCCCCTGTGGCCCAGGAACAGTCCCCGAAAGACCTCTCTGGCTCCTGCTCGAAAAATAGTGAAGATGACCAACCTCCATGGCTAAGTTGGACTTGGTTGGTCTTTGGGCAGATAGTTTCTTCTGCAAACCGCTCTGTCTCCCCATGTTAAATAGTACTGAGCGCGTAAAGCGGTGCATGCATGAGAAAAAGTTAAGAATGCGGCTGCAAAGCAATATAGGAATATGAGAAATATTGTCCCTGCACAGGCAGATAATGGCTGCTGCCACATTGCCCTCATACAAATACATAATTCATTTTATCAGCCAAACTAACCATTTGTACCTGGAAATACCTTGACTGTGTGTCTTCATTTCCTTTTCCTAGTTTGTTTGATTGCCTCCCTTCCTTAGCTCATAGCATACTGCTAAGTGTTAACAGTTTTTTATCTTTAAAAAAGATAAAAAAGGTAATGTTTCACAGTTTCGTAGTTCAGCTCCGGATAGTTTCTTTCTTCCATTCGATTAGGTATATCTATAAAAGGGAGATGGAGTATATTTGTATATTTGAATGACCTACCTCTCTCTCTCCCCCTCCCCCTCTTGCTCAATCTAGGGTTAAGGTGTCTCTAGGACATGGGCCAAATATGGCCAGCTGGTCCATGAGCCACAGGATGAGGGCTCTCCAAAGGGAGAGGGGCAGCAGAATGATTCTTTTAAAAATCTGTTTTATTTTCACATGCCAAAATAATGGCTGCAAAAGGTGATGACACTATTTTCTGTAATACAAGGCAGTACTGTGTTTTGCTGTCCTGAATATTCTTAACAGAAACATTTTCATTCATTCATTCATGTACTATGTCTCTATGTCATCTTTCCTCCAAGAACTTGGGGCACAGCACAGGGTCCCCATCCCCACACTCATTTATAGCCTTACAACAGTCCAGTGAATTACATTAGGCAACGAGGTAATTCCTGGTGCGGCACCAGCCACTGAGGATCACAGCTAAGGTCAGCTGTGACTCAGCTCACCCTGTTCCGACCCGGTGCTCTGACTGTACTACACTGGTCGCTATCGAAGGTGATCATAAGATTTCCAGCAGTGCAAATGCTTGATGCAGCAAGTCTGTTAAAGTGGTGCGTCTTGGAAAGTGGTTTAAATTAGAATGAGTGGGAAAGCGGAGTGATGTAATCATGCTTTATTCCTGTGAAGCCTTAAAGATTGCCTTTTCTGGTGTCAGTTGGCATTCATGCCTTAAGGGGAACAATACCCTTGGACGTGTCTTGTGGGGATATGACCCCCAGCTGCACTAAATGGCACTGGTTGTGGGTTTCCTGAGTGTGCAGAAAACAGGCACTGCATGTGGTCAGCATGAAGGGGGCAGTTCCCATGAAAGAGGCCCAAGCAGGTCAGAGGATCCCTGCTGAAATTATAAGACATCCTCTTTCTCCCATCCTATGTGATAGATCTATAAAAAAGGGAGATGGAGTATCTTGGTATATTTGAATGACACCTCTCTCTCTCTCTCTGGCACCAGCACCACGATTTGAACCCAGGTTCGTATCTGTTTCTGTGTTCAGCTTTGGTCCTGGAGGCAGACACTCATTTGGGTCTTTCCCCCATAGCCATCTCCTGTACAGCTCAAGCAGCCTGACTCTGTGTATGGTTTCTTAGATGTAAATCCTGCCCTGTTCAGTGGGGCATAGGAACCTTTGCCTTCCCTTCATTATCTTGTCATAGCTGTCGCAGGATAATATTTGCAAAGCTACTGGGAAGCTGCAGAAGCTAAATAGGCTGCGATTAGTTTCAATTTGAAAGAGCTACAGTGAGACTAAGCAGTGCTTAACAGCTTTGAGAAAAAAGGCAGGCTTTGTATTCCAAAGATACTATTACTTGTGCACTGTTCTACATGATGTATTTAAATAGTATGGCCTTAGTTACATGTTAGCTATAATCTCCACATTTGCACTGATTCATTAACAGTTCTTCCTCCAAGCCATCACTTAGAGTTCCTGACAAGTTTCCAGTTAACATTTAGCTACTCTGGACTGTCTGCGTGTTGTGTTTCAGTTCGTTCTGCAGATGTGAGGTAGTGTCCACACTTGCATGGCTCATTAAGTTAGCCTGCAAATGATTGGATTCACCGTGACTTGCTTTGCCCCTCGTTCAGCAGTTGATCCTTGGCAACTGTGCACACATCAGCCTGTTCGCAAGTCTCACCTTGCAAGTCTGTTTCCATGTATGCCACCTACTCCACTTCGCAGCTGCCTTGGACAGCAGACACATACAAGGCCTTGGAAAGAGTGCATAGATTAGACAGATGTGGGAGTGTACTTGCAAAATAATAGAAATTACAAACAAAATATTCTGTGGCTGAAACATTTTCAAAAATCTGTGTGTTTGAGGCTCCACCCCCCTCCCCCAATGAAAAAGTATAACTTATAACTGGAGTCTGTTTTGGAAAACTGAAGTATCCTGATAATAGAACCAAGGTGACCCATGCACTTTTGAACGTAGCCACGGTCCTCTTTTGGGTGGTCTTGCACCAGTCATTCCCTCATTGCCTAAGGCAATGATTATTGCCTTCACATGGTTATTGTGAGCATATAAAAGAGGGTGGTACTCTGTACTTAAGTTTTTGGAGGCATATAGATGTAATACATGAATGAATTAAAAAAACTGTTTCTCTTGAGATTAACCAGGATGGCAAAACAAAGTACTTTTTTATTGCAGAGTGGCAACATTGCCTTTTGCAGCCATAGTTTTGACAAGTGAAAATAAATTTTAAAAAAGGTGAAAAATCTAATATGAGCAGAAAAGACCAGTAGGTCAGCAAATCAGCCCAGTGATACCACCCAAAGATCTGGGAAGTCAACTCTACCTTCCTTAATAGAAAGTAGCATCCTTCTCAAATGTGGAGAGTGAACATTTTACAAAAAGTTAACCTTCTGAAAATAATTGTTCCATACCTACAAATGGATCCCACAAAACATAAACCGTTCAAAGTATGATAATCCTCTACAGTGTATTAACCTTAGCTCACAAACTTAACTTTAAAAGATGCTCCTCTGTCAATATCTTTTGATATGTCGTTAATTGTTGTATTCAAATTCTGAGACTGACCTTATCTCTTAAGGAAAAAGAAGATACATCCTGCTACAAAACATGGGACTTTTTCTATTACTTGTTAGACAAATGCAATCTAATTTAGGGCTGAAATATATAGTAATTGTAGAGAGAATAAGATTTTGAACTCAGTATGTCTGAAGTCTTTGGAATAATCATTTGTTTAGATTGTAGAAAACAGTCAAAATGTTGAAACCAATTATTGTATTTAAATTCCTCAATATATCTCCAGGAATGAGTACTCCCAAGTAATTAATAAACTCAGAGCTGTACTGAAATTGCCACTTGGCTAATACCATGAGAAACAGCATCACCAGTTGCCATCAGTTTTGACTTTGACCAATCAGTTGAATAACCAGACAGTTTACAAAAAAAAAAGTTAGCCAATTGTGTCAAAGCAGAAATAGGTACCTAGAGTTGAGAAATAAGCAATAAGAAGTCATATCTGTTATGATTGACTGTATAAAGGAAGTGGCAGTCTTGAAATTACAAGAGCTGAGCCGAGCTGTCATGAAGGGGACATCATGGAGAGCTTTTATTCACCATAAGTCGGAGACAACTTGACAGTACATAACAACGCAGTTATGAGCAAAGTTGTATCAATGCAGAACGCAGGTTTTCCTGTCTAGCCTCTCTCCCAAGTGGAAGAAAGTCTGAGCAGAACCAGTGGTTATTGGTCCCCATTCAATGTTTATTAATTCTGCTTGCAACACTTCCTGCAGTCTGTCAAGTAAAATTGAAGTCAGTATTTTAATAGCATGAATTAACAAGTTCCATCAGTTGTTGGTACAATATGATCCTTACTTGGTTTGGAAATCACCATTAAAAAGGGAAATATTTTTTGATGCAGAGAGTGACCTGGAATTCAAAAACAGGACTCTAAACCAAGTTGTTCTGGAACCAAGAATCTAGAAAAGGCTTTATACCTCTCAACTAGAAGCCCATCCAGAGCATTTCCCAGTACTCAAATAAGTAATTGCCTTCATAATTTCCTTTGCTCATATAGGAAGCAAAGGAAACTGCATTATAAGGAATCTGTGCATATGAGGAATAATTGCATCCTTATTCTTCTCTTATATTTTCTTAACTTTATTGTGAAGCTATAGATAAAGCTTTATAAATGGTAAACTTATTTCTGCAGGAGTGGTGTATATCTTTTCTATCATTCTCATCTTGAATCATAGGAATGACTTTTTGGTATTTCTGCTGTTTAAAATGCATGCTTAAATATTAGTTGAACATTTTCCATTCTCCCACTAAGCCTGTTACAACAGGCTAAAGCAAATCCTACCTGCTATGAAAGAAGCCCATATGTAATGTTCTGTAACTTGTGGATGGAGTAATTACAAACTGGGTTATAAAGCACTTTCAACTCATGTTGTGGTATTCATTGTATTAAAACAACTCTTATATAAAGAGTAAGCAATAATTTAACCACATATAAAAGCTTTGCTGTCCTCCCATTTACTGGATCCAGAATCAGCAGTGCTGTGGTTTTTTTTAAACGCTTGTGACGCTCCCTCCTGCAAAGTTAAATTTTAAGATATCTAGTCACTAAGAAATGAAACAAAGTACCCAACACACAGGGGACAAGGCAAATTGGAAAATTGCAGCTCTGAACAGACTGGGACATAGTCCGAATTTACCAGCATTTCAGTCTTACAAGCTTTAATTTGTCTAATTGAAAAGTGGAGACCAAGGAACAATACAATCGAAAATAGTTCTGATGGACTGGCAAATAAGTGTGTAATTACGCTTATCCAGATGCAAAATTCTTCTGTGATCTATCCAACCAAATTCTGTCATATAAGACTGAAGTGAAATGTAAGCCTCACCGCTGTTTGGGGAGCAGCATACTCTGATCCGGTGTTGGATCTAAGTTTCCATGAAAGCTCCCACCCTGCCACAATCAATTATCTTGGCCAATTTCAACCAATCCGTTAAAGCAACATGAAGGAAAATCATTAGTTGGCACGTACACATTAATCATAACTATAACTTTATGATTAATGTGACTTCCCGATTAGATTTCTGTAATGTGCTCTATGTGGGGCTACCCTTGAAGACGGTCCGGATACTTCAGTTGGTGCAGAATAGAGCTGCCAGGTTGCTGACAGGGACTGGGCGTTGCTGACGGGGACTGGCTCCCGATTGAAGTCTGGTCTCAATTCAGGGTGTTGGTTATGACCTATAAAGCCTTAAACGGCATGGGACCTGGATATCTAAAGGAACGCTTGCGTCCATATATTCCCTCCCACCCCTTGAGATCAGCAACAGATGCCCTTCTCCGGGAACCCTCTGTGAATGATGCTAGAAGGGTGAGTACCTGGAGTAGGGCTTTCTCTGTGGTGGCGCCCCATCTATGGAATGCGCTCCCCAGGGAGGTCCGCCTGGCGCCGTCGTTATTTGTTTGTCAGCACCAGGCTAAGACCTTTTTATTTAAAACTTACTTTAATTGTTAAATTATTTGTATCTATAGGATTTTAAATTTTTAGCCGAGATGCACCGGGGGTTTTTAAATAATTTTTTATTGTTATATGGTTAATATTTATGTATTTATGTATTTGTTTCTGTTGTGAGCCGCCCCGAGGCTTCGTTGCAATGGGGGCAGCATAAAAATGTTTTTAATAATAACAACAACAACAACGACAACTTTATCAACTGTATTTCTCAGTCAAAATAAAATAAGCTGTCAGGATCAGTTATCACCTGCTGAACTAGAAAAGAGTCACTTTGGGCATTATAATTGCAACCCCTATAAACTGTGTTGATGTATCTGTGAAATAAATCTCCCGAGCCCAGTCTTTTCTCAACAGATGTCTTTTCCTGTAGAAGAGCAACACTGGCATTAAATTCTTTTAACTCAGAAAACACTCTTCTGCCTGTATAAATAAATTCCTTAGCCCCTTGACATTCCAGGAAATTATGATGAATACTGAAAACAGTGATATATTTATAGTCCCTCAATATGTACAAATCATGTACATTTTGCACAGTTTACCTGTGCTAGAACAGGGCAATATATAAGTCAGTATTATAATACACTTTGGTGCAAGACTCTCCGCACAGCTTGAACTATTTACTGTATGTATATATATATATGTATGTATGTATGTATGTATGTATGTATGCGCCACCAAACAATCCACTCTCTAGGCAGCATGTATTGGGCCATACAGTATCCATAGAATCAAAAAAGATTGAGGCACAGACTCAGAAGTTGAAACCAAGTAAGTGAAAATCCAATAGCCTAAATGGTACCTACATCTTACACCCCAAAGCACCCCAAAAATGATAACAGAGCTTAGCTCTCAGTGAGAATGATCTGTAGGCTCACACACTCTCCCCACCTCCAGTATATCTTCCCTTTCATTTTACTTGAACTACAATAACAGCAAACCGTTAACTAATCTTAACTATCACTGATGGAAACAAGCCACTTTCAGAGCTTGCTTATTTCCACTAACTTAAGTCAAGATTAATCACAGTCCAGGGTTTGGATGACACATTAAACTATGGTTAACCTAAAATGGGAGGGCAAACTTATGGCTATGTCAAAAGAGTTTGGAGGGGATGTGTGTGAGTTCCAGACTTGCTGCACTTACTGTCATCTCACAGAATGGCAGTTCAGTATGACATCTGAATGCGACCGATTTATGTCCAATACTATGAAGCACCTTGAGTGCATTGGTAGAAAGATCGAATTTTAAACGAAATACATATAGGCATTATACAAATGCTTCTCTGCTAACGTTATGATAGCCATATTTCAAATTTTGCCCACAGTCATACTAAGCCTAATTTCTTTTATGCCTTACCATTTGCACCAAAACTGTTATTATGCTTTAGCCTGTAAGTAAATTATCTTCTTTGATCACTTGGCAAGGCTCAGATTCACTCAGTAGTAGACAATTGGGGGAACCAACGAAGGAGAGAACTTTATAGTCATTAGGCAGCAGGGTCTTCAAATTAATTTCTCTGTGATGCTCTAGTCACAACCTACCTAAATTCCTGTCGATTGATAACAATATACTTTTTGTATGAATAATTGAATAATTATACAGACTTTTGTCATTCATTAATTATTTGTTTTTTCTGGGTTCTGTCCCAACCGCAGCAATGTCAAAGTCTGCTGTGAAAATCTCGTCTGACTTGCTGTCCAACCCACTCTGTGAACAAGACCCCAAATTTCTTGAGATGGTGATGGCCCTGGACACAGCCATGAAAAGAATGGATTCTTTTAACCAAGAGAAGGTAACATTTCAGAGAGTGAGAGCATGTGTGTCTGGAGAGGGAAGAGGATAAGGCAATTCTCTTCAAGTCTGTCTGTACATTTTGCAAAGCTTCCCTTTCACTGCAAAATGACACACCAGGTATTTGCATATTTCCATTGGGGTTTTAAAGGCTTTATTTCAGAAAGTCTCTTAAGTCTGGAATCACGCTGCAGTTGCGGTGCCTGGTGTTGGCTCATGGATGCACGCCTCAAGATCACAGGGCTTTTTGGTGGGATGGGTTAGAATGATTAGGAATTTAGTGCTCTGATCTGAGAGCAAAATTCTGAGCAGTGGTGGCTCAAACCGAGTTTTGCTTGGATTTTCCACACTACCAAATTCTCTGCCTTTCTCCTTGGTTTGCAGGTTTCTACAGCAGTATATACCTTCTTTGCCAGTGACCTGTGAATTGTTCCCCAAATATTCAACTTCACAGATGCCTGGCCCCTTTAGCCTGGAGAGTTCTTAGATTCCTGTGGAGTTAGCAGTAGTCTCTTGTGGTGATTTGCAGTGAATGAGATGATGCTTCCAACCTAGAAGGCATCCCTTTAAAAGTGGGGGAGGGTGATAATTTTCCCAGAAGCCTCTCGCTTACTACAGAGGCTTCAGGGGTGTTTTCCTTTTCAAAGCTGGGGAAAGTGTCAGCCATGGACCAGCATCATTCTCTGGCCAAAACAGGTTTTTGCTTGAAGCGGGGAGTCAAAATATCAGTGCAAGGAGTCAAAATATCAGTGCAACCTGTGAGCCTTCCAGTAGGCTACACTGTTCTCCTTCATATGTAAACAAGTTAAAATAAATGTATGCAATTATGCATGATCTATTCCTATACATTTCCATAATGAAATTGCAGACTTCTAGCTTTCGGTGTCATCAGTGCAGGGACCTAATCCTTCTGCTTCAGGTGGTTGGGACTTTGCCAAAGGCAATGTTAGGCAGAACTTTGGGACTTAAAATAATTGCCCATAAGAGCAGTGTGCTTCACGCACTGAGATGTGCAGTCAGTAACTAGTTGGAAAGTGGCCAGGTCAGACAGAACGAGATGCTTGATCTAAGCCAAAACTTGGAAACCTGCGGCACCTGAGTATCCGTCAGCAGGCCCATCATTTGATGCTACCGTGTGCATCAACCAGAGCCAGTGTGGCGGAAGCTCACTGGGTGACTTTGGGCCAACTACCTATTCCCAGCCAAAGCTACCTCACATGCTTCTTGTTGTGAGGATCAACACAACTATCTAAACTGGCTTGCGTTCCTCACAAGAGTTAAAAAGCAGGTGTCAGGATCTGGGGGCCAGAGCATTTACCACCACATTTGCAGGATCACTTCCAGGCCTTGCTGGATCTCTCCATCTGCTGCGGAGCGCCAGCTGGGAGTCCTGGGGAAGAGCTCTCCAAGAGCAAGCTCTGCCCTCCAGAACTGGCCTCAGCAACAGAGGTCCTGTTTTCTCTAGTGCCTGCTCCTGGCTTCTGCTATGTTTTCTGCCTTTCTGTGTTGCTCTGCTGTTGTGCCTGCCTCTTGCCTGACCCATACCCTGCCTCACTGTGTTGCCTCAGTAACACAGGGCTTCCTGCAGGCTGTGACTCAGCTCCTGCTTCTTGCCTGACCCTTGCTGCATCGGGTTCCTGCTGTCTCATGTATCTTGCCGTGCTGTGTCTCCCCCGCTGTTACCCTGTCCAAGGTACCTGCACCTCTGTCTGGTTCTCACCCCTTGGCTTGTTTCTGATCATGTCCTTGCTCTGCCCTCATGCATTCTTCTGGTTCCTGACCTCGGCCTACGACTTGGACCTTCCTTTAAACCCTTCTTTGGACTCTGTCTTGCCTGGGGTTCTGTCGTCCTGGTCCTAGTGCCCCTGTTGCTCTTGCCTTCTCTTGTCTCTGGCCACCCACATTCCAGCCCCAGACCCTGATTGCAGGATATAAATGCAGTATCATCCCCTGTACATCTGTCCATTACTACTGCTTACCTTGTGGTCCTGCCTTAAGACTCTGCTTACAGCATGCTCTCTAATAAGCAAACGCAGTGGTAAGTGTTGTTGTAAATGGAGCCAACATTGACCACTGAAAAACAAGAGAGAACATTTGGGGAAATCCCAGAGTTGCAGATGCAAAACCCAAGCCAAAACAGCCCTGTGAAGATTGAACATTCTCAGTGCTCACAAGATGCCAAATATCAGTTGGAAAGGAAAAACCAAGGAGTGTGAAAAAGAGTGTGGCTAGCTGGTTAGAACCCAGAACAGGAGTCATCCCATTCAGGAGATGATGCTGTGCTACAATTTCTTGCAGGCCTATGTGTTAAATAAAATGGGTCTTCTGTGTCAGCTTTAGTTAATCTTACTTTTTCTTTTTCTACCAGGTGAACCAAATCCAAAAGACAGTTATAGAGCCATTGAAAAAGTAAGTAGTAGCATCTCTGTATGGGCAATAGCAGATGTGTTTGTAATCCTGCAAATGAACGTGATTTAACATGGGGGCGAGCAATATGTGTCCCCCTCAAGGCACTTTAGTGAAGTTCATGAAGGCTTAGGAAATTCTGCAAATCCCAATTTGCACTTAGGTGGGAAAAAAGAATGCTGAATTGGTAGCCCACATCACTATGGTGAAAAGGCTGAAAATGTGAAGGCAGAACATTCAAAACTTGGGAAATATTTACAAAATCCTATGCACAATGTGTTTTGTGTTAGAACTTAACTGCTTAGTAAATATGTCAAAACCTATTGTTGCTATTTGTTTCCCCTCCCCTCCCTCCCTCCCCTCCCCTGAAGAAAATAATTATAAAATAAGAACTGTGATCAGATTTGATGTATCTAATTTATTCAGCTGCAGAATTCCACTTTTGTTGTTTTATAATTTTGGATTATCTTGGAATAGATTTTGTCTCTTTGACTGGGTTCACATAACATGGCAACCTATTGTAATAACTAGCCACCATGGGATGTCGTTTTCTGAGAATCTGGACTACTACCCACAGGGTGGCTTATTTTGCCCCCAAAAGCCACCCTGTTGGCTTGCTCAAAGGGTTGTTGGACCTGCAGTGAGCTGACACATTGTCTGAACCTGGCATACCAGTTCTTGCCCCTTTTGCAAGCTTGCCCAGGCTACCACTGGTGACAGCTGCTCCACCCAATGCCCAAGCAGGTCTTACGACCAAGTGTCACTGGTTCACTTTCCACTGCCCTGATTGCAACCCCTTTTGCAGTCTGTGCATATTCCCATTTTAAAACAGCTTTTTTCAATGTCCAGAGTGCTATCCAGTGACAGCCGTTCCAAAGGGCCAAAGCAGCAGGCTGTCTCCAGTTTGCCACATTTTAAAATTACCAATTTGCAGCAGAAATATGTGCAAATGCTTTCAATAATATCTGTTTGTGTGCATGTGTGTAAGTGCATAATTCCAACAGTCCAAATCTGATGCTCTGCCTGCTCAGTGTCCTGATAAGCTCCACCTGTGAAAACCAGCATCACCCAGAGCCATTGACGAAGCCACACCCAGATTGCTCTTACTTGACAGCTTCTGAACACTGATCTGTCAAGTGCAAAACGAAACCACAAGCAGTTCTGTGCTTGTGAAAGCAGTAAAGAATTTTCTTCTAAGATCCTCTAGATTTACCTGGAAATTCTTAATGTCCTCTACCTTTTGCTGAGTCTTTTGGCAAAGCAGGAAAATGCATCCCACTCTGTTTACCGAAGCACTTACTTTTGACAGTGATCAGATATAAGACTTTCTTTCAAAACAGGGTTTGATGAAATGGGTGGTGGTGGTTGTTTTGGTTTGTTTGTTTATTAGACCAGGACATATGCAGATTTCATGGCTGCATATATCCCTGCTAAAAACCCTGTTTTAAAAGTGTGGGTGGAGAATAACACACAATGTCCCCCATTGTCTGTCAGCCACACTGTGGGTTGTTCCACAAACAACCCACACTACCTGCTTTATTCTCGGGTATTGAGCGAACTCACCCATTAAGTACACACACCTCTGCAGCAGTTTGTTCAGGACTGTGCTGCTTGCCAGCCTGGTGGTGAGCTGGCCCTGTCTTTTTGCCACAGACAGTTTGGCTTTTCAGTCCCTTAAATTTCTGTGATTGTAAGGCTTCTGTCACCTCCACTTTCGAAGTAGCACCTCCCCTCCTCCGACTGATAAAATGTAAAGGTGTTCTATTTAAAAGTGCCTCTTCGCCCAGTAGTCTATCTAACCCTGTGGACATACTTTTATCCTTGTAAATCTGTGAGTATCTTTCTTATGTTTTAAGTCTCATTAGCATGTACTGGAGCAATAAGCAAGCACAAGAGTCTCCTTAAATGTTTAAGGAGAATGTTTGGTACTTCTGAAATCTTTAATACAGGGAAACAGTGAGAGGGAATAAAATGATTTTAATAAGACAGTAAGTGAGTCAAATTGTTCAAGAATATGTTTAATTTCCACCCAACATACTTTTTCCAAGTATTTTAAGCTTGGTTATTTGATTCACATTGGAAAGCATGAGTAAGCTCATACAAAGGATACAGGTTGCTACCGTTACGATTTGAGAGTAGAATATGTATCTGCATTGCTTTTTAGGCATGAGGGATTTACTGTCATGGTGGAGAGTCTGGTCCAGGTAAGGCAAGATGGTAGTGAATGGCTGTAGAAACAAGCCTGGACAAGGGAGCTTTGGCTTGCTACCAGCCAGTGGTAGGTGGAATATGCAGGACTAGTGCTGACCTTTGATGCAGGAAACGCGAGTTTGGCAGAAGGGCTGTCTGGGGGCCAGCAAGTTTGCCTAGTTCCTGCTTGTTCATCAGCTACCCCAATAGCTCACCCTCACGAGGTTTGCATGTAACAAGAAGCTGCAAGGCAACCTGAGCACTGAAAATGGTGGTGGTCACAACACTGAGAAATCCCGTGGGAAATTTACCCATGGTGACTTATTATTATATGTGAACTGGTTACTTGAGGTCCAAAAAGAACATGAAAAAAACGCTATTACATATTTGTAACTTCCCCCAAAGTTCCATTTTATTCTGAAATCACTTGGGGGAAAAACATTTTTCGCCCTACAGTACAGCTTCAAAATTATGGGAAATTTTACTTCTCTGCTTGTGGGCTTCCTACGGGGCAGCGAGTTAAATGAACAGAATGCTGGACTGGATGAACCCTTTTCAGGTCCAGCATCATGCTTCTTATCTTCAAGCTAGAAATAACTTCTTAGTAGACTCCAGAAACTTCCAAATCCAAAATTTCCGTACACCAGTTTCAGTTACTTATCCCTGGTGGCCAGGCCAGTGTCTTGGTTCTGTCCCCTTGCTTTAGGAGCTGCTTTTCTTCTCTCCCCTATCTTTTTGTCCTTGACTCTTCCCCATTTCTGTCTCCTCATTTTTCCCTACCCTCACCCCTCTTTCGTGGCAGTTTTGTAAGTTGATAGTCTTTGCAACCCCTTTTGAAAAAATGAAAGTCTGTTTCATACTTCAGTTTGCAGCACTTTATGGCGAAAGTGGATGATTTCTCTTCCCTGCTGCATCCGCATTCGTGAAGCGGGCAGCCACAGGGCAGGCAGAGTGTATGCATATGGATTTCAGCACATTTTTTAAGGAGCCGTGGGACCCATTTGTGTATTAATGAGAGGCACCATAGGCATTTGAGCTGATGCCCTCCCCTCTTCCCGCTTTAAGAATGCTCTGGTAACGTGTCTGGGAGACTAATGAAAACTGCCCTGGGATTCTTCCACTTGTTTCCTTTAAGATACTGCTGTCCCAGAGGAGTTCACCCTCCCTAGCCTCTCCCAGACTCGCCTTGGCCTAGAAACGGGCTTTGATTCTAACAGCTGCACTTCATTACTCTCCCTTCAGCGGTGGTCCTTACAATTTATTGGCTAAAGACATAGATAACTTAAATCCAGGCAATTCTCATTAGCAGCCATCCATTGTCATTGGAGCCACGTGCAAGAGAAAGCTCCTTGTTCTCTAGTGCCACAGTACAAAGCCCCAGGAGGCGCTTCGCCACTCTGTCCAGCACGCTCCCTTTTCTTCAAAAGCAGGCGCTGGCTTGAGGGGGTGGGCGCCAGGAACTGCATCTTCCCTCAGTTAGTAGGGTGAGAAACTTTCTTTCCGCCTTAAAAATAGTCCCCTAGTGGTGAATTGCTTGGGGTTAATTTCAGTTCATTTAAGTTTTAAGCAAGAATGCTGTGTTCTTCAATAAATGGGTTGGGCAGAAGATGGCGGAGTGAGGTTGGAAAGTTCACCTCAGATCCAGTTCAATGAAAAGTCAGCTGTGTGCTTTGTCCCAGAATGTGATTGGAAATACATACATGGCATTAATGACATACGTCATGGACAGCACGCTCTGTGCTTTGATCCTGAAGGTAGCGCATTATATAAGAGAAGCTAGGATGTTTGCGTTTGGCACAGTGCCTTTCATATGCAGAAGTCTTGCGGCTCATTTCACAGCAATAAATCTTATTAAGCTGCCTGAATGTGTTTTAACTGGTATTCACTAAATGGGTACCTTTCCCTTCACAGTTTGGGTTCCTCAAGCCTTTGGCTTCTTGCTCTGCCGGGCTTTCAGTTACCAGGGAGAAACAAGCAGCAGAAAGAGACAAAGATACCTGCTTTTCTGACTTTTTCTGGATATCCTGCTTGTCTACAGGCAATCTAGATCCTGTGCTTGTGGGTGGACTAAGGCAAGCTCTGTATAATACTTAAACCAGTCCAGGGCTTGGCTGCCATCTCTCAAACTAAGGCATGCTCAAATCTACTTACAGTGCTTTCCAGTGCACAGTCTGGGAGTCATGGTCCCCAAATAGACTGAGGGAAGCTGCTTCCAGGTTTTAGTCTCCAGGGCACTGGATAGAGAGCCCGTCTCTGCAGCAGGGTATGTTGTAACATGTTGACTCTGCTGGCATAAATGCAAAGGGGAAGGGGCTAAAATAGCTAACTGCTTGACACAGTTGGCAATTTTTCTTTGGAGACTTGGGTCTGTGCTGACTTGCGTGGGCAGAATTTATACTAGGCCCGAGGCAGGATTGACAGTCCCACTTCTGAGGTAACCACAGGAGACAAAAATGAAAGGCTTAAAATAAACGACTCTGCCCTTGGAATTGCTCTTTGTGAAGATCAGCCGCAGGATGGAGGAGATGTTTCAAGTTCAGCTGAAGACGCCATGACAGGCCCAAACTGGAAGCCCCTGGAACAGAGAGTAAATAGCAATGGGGGTTCTGTGAGGCTGGCTTGGCAGAGCCCGTCTGGTTGCCTCCCTTCGTTCTTCAATACAGTGCCTTTTCTGCTGAGTTTTGTAAAACCTAAGCATATCCCACACAATTAGAACCCTGAAGACAGTTGCACCAGCTCATTGTACATGCTAAACTCTGTCAGCTCATGAGTGAGTGTCTTGGCAGGTTTCCACAACAGCTGGAAACCAGTGG